TGGCGTGTCGTGCATATCAACCTTTCCAACCTATCTTTTTTAACATGTGGTCACCTAAACAACTGTTGTATTAGCTATGGAATCTTTTTTTTCTTAACTGAGGCTAATTCAAGACTGACAATGAACAGCACCTTCCAAGGCTGAGGGACTGAACATCTCAACCTGCTTCATGTTTAAGTAAAAGGACGTAAGTGCAATTTATTTATTTGAGCATGATACAGAGAAGTACAAAAGAATACAGTTAAATGCAGCATGCCAAAGCCACTTGAATGCAGAGCATTACGGGCAGGCTTAAAATTATCTTAAGATTAACTAAGCCATGAAGTATTCAGTGGTAAAACATTGTAAACAGATAACAATTAAACACAAATTAATACGATATTTTATTGCGGCAAGGTTTCGCTCTTCAGGAGCTTTGCCAAACTTGACAAGGCTCCTGAAGAGCGAAACATGCCACAATAAAATGCTGCATTAGCTGCATACGTGTCCTTTTACCTAACATATTGTCGGTATCTCTCCTAACATTATCACTATTTCATGTTTCCAACCTCTCATCTTCAACTTGTCGGTTTTCAAAACCATTCAACACATTCTCATTTGTGTGGACTGATGAAACCACGAAACGTTTCTACAATAAAGCTACCCAAATGTTGCACGTGTGTCTAATATATCAGGTATGGTGATACCGAGAGGATGTATAATTCAAGACATTTACGAGTTAAAGTTCGGCTGCCCTACTTTTATCCTAGACTCACCTGACTTCTTGAACTACACTGAAATCCTTTAACCTACATTCACTTTTAAGACGTAGAATAAAGGGAGACATCACTGAAGTGTCTAAGTGGAAGATGGGCATAAATAAGGGAGGTATATATAAGGTTGAGGATATCTCTTCAAGAAAGAACTTGAAATAATGGATTCAAATTGCATGAATTTAGATTTACAAATGATATAGGAAAAAACTGGTTTGGAAATAGTCGATGAGAGGAATAGTATCTAGTAGGGTTATTAAACCTAAAACTTTGGGTACCTTCAAATATAGGTTGGATAAATACACGAGAGAGGGAGACTTGCATTTGGGTTATCAAAGCTTCTTTCTTGGATAACATTGATAATGGGTTGAGGGAATATTTTTGTTAGTGGGTTTGGATTTGACAAAAACCTGCCAAGTATGGGGCGGTAGGCCTGCTGCTGTGTTGCTCCTTTCTTATGTTCTCCGACTTCTCTGCAGTAGGACTGAAACCACCACTGGTGGTGTTACGTTTCTTTAATTCTACAACTATGAGCGTGCAGATAAGAATCTAACAACCTTGCTATGTGGGAATGAAACAAAACACAGATGTCTTGATTATCTGCCGTTAAACTTAAACAGCTCACCTGTATTACAAGAAAAGTAACCTATCGTGGGCTGATAGACGCTTTACAGTGATAGTGTTGGCTGGTAGGACTGTTGCAGCGCCTTTCTGAGTGTTTAATCTGACCCACTAATACCTAACAACTCAGCTTTGATTAACTATACAAGACGTAAGTTTATCTTTCATGTACTTGATAAAGCAAATTTGTGAAAAAAACGTATCAATAAAAACTCCAGTGCGGTGTCTTCCTCAGCATTTATTCTATTTTTTTTTTTAATAAAATTAGCGAAGTGGCATAATGACCGAAATTAATTCAAACCGATTTGGATATTTTAATTAAAGTTTTAAGGTTCATATTCAAGCCGACCAGAAGTGACATTGCCAAGTTACTGCACAAGACCAGAATGGTTAGTTAAACTGACAAATTAGATATACTGGACTGACCGATTATTTGTGTGAAATTTATCAATGATAATTGTGTGTAACATCTTAAATTTACACTGTGTGTGTGTGTGTATATATATATGTGTATATATATATATATATGTGTTTTGTTCATAATATATATATATATATATACATATGTATTATGTTTTATATACAATGTATATATGTATATATACATATGTATATATGTATACATGTATATATACATATGAAAACATGTATATAACATTTTGTATATATGTATACATATATATATACATATGTATATATGTATACATATATACATATGTATTATGTATACTTTATATACATTTTGTATATATGTATACATATATATACATATATATATACATATATATACATATTTTATATATATGTATACATATATATACTTATATATGTATACATATATATACATATATATGTTTAAAAAATTTAACATATATATGTATACATTATATAACATATATTGTATAATATAAACATATAATATATGTATACATAAAATATATATGTATACATTTATATACATATGTATACATATATATACATATATATGTATACATATATATACATTTTATTTTTGTATACATATATATACATATATTGTATACATTATATTTCTATATATATATGTTTACATATAATAATTTTCATTTTTATTTTATTTATATATAATATATATATGTATACATATATATACATATATATTATATATTATAATTATATATATGTATACATATATATTTATATATATATAATATATATGTATACATATATATACATATAGTTACATATATATACTTTTATGTATACATATATATACTATATATTATACAATATAAATTTTTAATGTATACATATATATACTTTTATAAAATATACATATATATATTGTTACATATATTATATGTAAATATATACTAATATGTATACAATATATCATGGGATTAAATCTGGAGTATCTGAGAGAGTTAGAGAAAAGGAAGGGGTAGCAGTAATGTTAAATGATCGTTATGGAAGGGGGGAAAAAGAGAATAGAATGTGTAAATTCAAGTTTTTTTGGGGGAATTAAAGTAAAGGTTTGGGGATGCAAAAGGGGGTAAAAAGCGTGTTCCCCTGGAAAAGAGAGGAATGCGGGAGAGAGAGAGTTTTTGGGGAGATGTTAATGAATTTTAAAGGAGCCTTTGAACCCAAATAGAGAGTTTTGGTAGGGGGCTTTAATCTAAAGTAGGAGAAATTTTTAGAGGGGGGGTGGGAGGTAAGTTTGGGGGGGGGCCCGGTGTAAATGAAAGGGAGCCCTTTGATTGAACTTGTAAGAAAGGGGGGTTTTGTTAAAGGGAAAAATATTTTAAAAAAAAGGGTAAATAAGTATACACGATATGATTAGGCGAAATGACAGTGTTTGTTGGGTTATTATTTGGGAGATAAAAGACTGTTGAGTAGACTTCAGGATGTACAAGTTTTTGAGGGGCCCAATTATCAATCACTTTCTGTTTTTGCCACTGAGGAAAAGGTAGATGGGGTACAAGGGGAATAGAAGAAACAGGAAGAGGGGAGGTGAAGGTTTTATAAAATAAAAGAGGGGGGCTTAGGGGTAAATATAAACACTATTGGAGGATAGATGGCTAATGAGAGCATAGGCAATGGGGGCGAAGAGGTTTTGGGGGGAGGGTTTTAAAAAAGTAGTGTTTGAGGTTTAAGAAAATTTGTGGTTACAGGAAAGTGGGGGGCAGGAGGGAAAAGGAGCGATGGGGGAATGAGATGTAAAAAGAGTAGTAAGGGAGAAAAATTGCATTGAGAAGTTTTTTTCAAAGAAAGTGATGCAAGGGGGGAAAAGTAATGGGGGAAAAAGAGGAAGTTAAGAGAGTGGTAAGCAAGTAAAAGAGAGCAAATGAGAGAGTGGGTGAGTGTTATCAACAAATTTTGTTGAAAATAAGAAAAGTTTTGGATGAGATTAAAAAGTTAAAAAAGCCTAGAAACAAAGGATTTGTCGTTTAAAAATAGGAGAGGGATTATTAAATGGAGGGGAAAGGGGTTTTGGAAGGGGGAAGGAATATTTTGGGAAATTTTTTAAATGTTGATGAAATGGGGAAGCTGTGATTTCGTGTAAGGGCAAGGGGGAATAACATCTTGTAGGGTGGGGGAAGACCAGTTGTGGTGGGGGGAATTCGGAGGCAGTAGGAAAAAAAAAGGGGGTAAGGCACCCGGGATTGATGGAAAAAGTAGAAATGTTAAAAAGCGGGTGGGAATATTTTTGGAGTGGTTGGTGAAATTATTAAAAAATGTAGGAAGAGGGAAGGTACCTAGGGATTGGGCAAGACAGCATAGTTCCTTTGTAAAAGGAAAAGGGGGATAAAAGAAAGTCAAAAATTTAGGGGTAAGTCTGTTGGTTCCTGTAAAGTGTATGGTAGAGTTATAATTAAAAGAATTAAAGTAAGACGGAGAATAGGATAGCGATGAACAAGGGGGCTTTAGGAAAGGTAGGGGTGTGTGGACCAGGTTTCAGGAAACATATAATGAACGTATTTAGAAAAGGGCAAAAGAGGTCTTTTGGCTTTTAAAAGGATTTGGAAAAGGCGTATGACAGGGTGGATAGGGGGGCAATGTGGCAGTGTTGCAAGTGTAGGGTTTTGTGGGAGGTGGGTTTTACTGAAAGCAGTGAAGAGTTTTACGAGGTTTGTGAGGCTCAATTTAGATAGTGGGGAAAGGGGAAAATTTTTTTTCCCAAAAAAGGG